TATGGAGGCTCCTCAAAAAACTAAAAATAGAACTGCCTTATGACCCAACAATCCCACTTTTTGATATTTATCCAAAGAAAACAAGAACACTAACTCAGAAAATGTATGCCCCTACCCCCATGGTCACATAGTCAAGATATGGGAACAACCTAAATGTCTATCAACGAATGGATAGATAAAGAAAATGTGATATATATATTTTACAGCCATAAAAAGAAGGAAATCTTTCCATTTGCAACAACATGGGTGGACCTCAAGGACATTATGCTCAGTGAAATAAGTCAGACAGAGAAAGACAAATACTATATGATTTCACTTACACGTGGAACCTAAAAAACAAACAAGCAAACAAAACAGAAACAAAGTCATAAACACAGAGAACAAATTGGTGATTGTCAGATGGAAGGGGTGTTGGGGAACTGGGTGAAAAGATGAAGGGATTAAGAAGTACAAATTGCCAATTATAAAAATAGTCATGGGGATATAAAATAGAGCATAGGGAATACAGTCAATAATATTGTAACGATTATGTATGGTGCCAGATGGGTATTAAACTTATGGGGGGGGGATATCACCTAGTAAGTTATACAAATGCCTAACCGCTATGCTGTACACCTAAAGTAATATAATATTGCATGTCTACTGTAATTGGAAGGCCTGACCCCATAAATGCAAAAAACAAAAACAAACACAACCCTTTTTCTTTATCCCCTTTCTCTATAACCTCCTTATCCACTTAGGAGCAAACTGTGAAGAACTTGGCACTTTTTCTTTCTAAAAAAAATTGAATCTATTGAAGTGACATTGGTTAATACAATTATATAGGTTTCCAGTGGGTAATTCTATAATACATCATCTGCATATTGTACCGTGTGCTCACCACCTCACGTCAAGTCTCCTTCCATCACCATTTATCCTCCATTTATTTTACCCTCTCCCACCTCACCCCACTCTCTGGTAATCACCATACCATTTTCTGTGGCTGTGAGGGGTTATTTTAAAAAAAATTTTTAAAATCCCTTCACCTTTTTCACCCAGCCCCCCAATGACCTTCCCCTCTGATAGCTGTCAGTCTGTTTCCTGTATCTATGAGTCTGTTTCTATTTTGTTTGTTAGTTTATTTTGTTCATTAGATTCCACATAATACTCTCCAGGTTCATCTGTGCAGTCACAAAAGGTAAGATTTCCTTCTTTCTTTCTTTCTTTTTTTTTTTTTTACTTTATTTTTTATTATTGACACTATTACAGGTGTCCCTATTTCCCTCTCCTTTGCCTACCTCCACCCAGCCACTGCCACCCCCTTCCCTCTGGCCATCACCACACTGTTGTCAGTGTCTATGGATTATACATGTATGCTCTTTGGCTAATCCCTTCACCTGCTTTCACCAGTCATGCCCTTCCCCTTCCTCTCTGACAGCTGTCAGTCTGTTCCATGTATCCATGCCTCTGTTTCTATTTAGTTCATCAGTTTACTTAGTTAATTAGGTTCTACATATAAATAAGATCATATGGTATTTGTCTTTTTCTGACTGGTTTATTTCACTTAGATAATAACCTCCAAGATTTCTTTCTTTTTTATGGCTGAGTAGTATTCCATTGTGAAAATGTACCACAGCTTTTTATCCTTTCATCTACTGATGGGCACTTGGGCTGTTCCCAGATTTTGGCTATTTGTAAATAACACTGCAATGAACATACGGGTACATGTAATCTTTTGAATTAGTGTTTTGGGTTTCTTCAGATATATTCCCAGATGTGGAATCACTGGGTCATAAGGCAGTTCCATTTTTAATTTTTTGAGATAACTCCATACTGCTTCTCACAGTGGCTGCACGAGGGTTCCTTTTCTCCACATCCTCACCAGCACCTGTTGTTTGTTGACTTATTGATAGCCATTCTGACAGGTGTGAGGTGATATCTCATTGTGGTTTTAATTTGCATTTCTCTGATGATTAGTGACATTGAACATCTTTTTATATGTATATTGGACATCTGTATGTCCTCTTTGGAGAAGTGTCTATTTAGGTCCTTTGCCCATATTTTAATTTGACTGTTTGTTTTTTTGTTGAGTTGTACAAGTTATTTATAAAATTTGGATATTAACCCCTTATAAGATATCTCATTAATGTATATGTTCTCCCATTCAGTGGGTTGTCTTTTCATTTTGTTGATGGCTTATTTTGCTGTGCAAAAATTTTTAGTTTGATGTAGTCCTGTTTATTTTTTCTTTTGTTTCCCTTGCCTGAGAAAATATATAAAAAATATTGCTACAAGAAATGTCTGAGATTTTACTGCCTATGTTTTCTTCCAGGATTTTTATGGTTTTGAGTATAACATTTAAATCTTTAATCCATTTTGAATTTATTCTTGTGTATGGTGTAAGAAGGTGGTCTAATTTCACTTTTTTTGCATGTATCTTTCCAATTTTCCCAAAACTATTTGTTGAATAGACTACCTTTACCCCATTGTATGTTTTTGCCTCCTCTGTCAAATATTAATTGACCATAAAGGCTTGGGTTTATTTCTGGGCTCTCTATTCTGTTCCATTAACCTATATGTCTATTTTTACACTGCTAATATGCTGTTTTGACTACTATGGCCATGTAGTGTAGTTTGATATTAGGTAGTGTGATTCCTTTACCTTTGTTTTACTTTCTCAAGATCACTATTGCTATTCGAGGTCTTTGGTGGTTCCATACAAATTTTTGAAACAGTTTTTCTGGTTTTGTGAAGTTCTCCATTGGTATCTTGATGGGAATTGCATTGAATCTGTGGATTGCTTTGGGAAATATGGACATTTTAATAATGCTAGTTCTTCCTCTCTATGGACAATATATATGCTTCAACTTATTTGTATCTTCTTCAATTCCTTTCTTCAGTGTCATATAATTTTCCAAGCACAGGTCTTTTACCTCCTTGGTTAGATTTATTCTTAGGTATTTTATTCTTTTTGAAGCAATTATGAATAGGATTTTTTTTTTTTTTTTAGTTTCCCTTTCTGATAGTTCATTTTTGGTGTATAAAAATACAACTGACTTCTGGATATTTACATTGTATCCTACTACTTTACTGGATTCATTTATCAGTTCTACTAGATTTTCTTTTTATAAAACCTTTAGGGTTATTTATATACAATATCAGGTCATCTGCTAATAATGATAGTTTTATTTCTTCCTTTCTAATTTGGATGCCTTTTATCTTTTCTTGTCTGATCATTGTGACTAGGACTTCCAGTACTACCTATACTAATAATAGAGGAATATGCAAATTGTCTGAGATGCCATCACAGTAACAGTAACGACCTAACAGCACGTTGTGTGGGGTGACCAGGCCAGCAGGGAGGTTAGTGAGGGACAACCAAATGACTGAACAGCAGGCTGCATAGGGGAACCAGGCTGGCAGGGGGGGCAGTTGGGGGTGATCAGGATGGTGTGGGGGCAATTGGGGGTGACCAGGCCAGCAGGGGGACAGTTGGGGGTGACCAGGCTGGCAGGGGGGCAGTTGGGGGCAGTAAGGGGTGACTAGGCTAGCAGGGGGGAGAGTTGGGGGTGACCAGGCCACCAGAGGGGGGCAGTTGGGGTGACCAGGCTGGCAGGAGGTAGTTGGGGGTGACATGGTTGGCAGGGGGAGCAGTAAGGGGTGACCAGGCTGGTAGAGGGGGGCAGTTGGGGGCAACCAGGCTGGCAGGGGTGGCAGCAAGGGGTGACCAGTTAGGGGAGATCAGGCCAGCAGGCAGAGGCAGTTAGGGGTGATCAGGCAGGAAGGCAGGTGAGCAGTTAGGAGCCAGCAGTCCCGGATTATGAGAGGGATGTCCGACAGCTTGTTTAGGTCCAATCCCCAGAATTGGGCCTAAACCGGCAGTCGGACATCCCCTAAGAGGTCCTGGATTGGAGAGGGTGCAGAGGGTGCAGGCTGGGCTGAGCCCCCCCCCCCCCCCCGCACAAATTTAGTGCACCGGGCCTCTAGTGTTGAATAAGAGTGGTGAAAACAGACATCTCTATCTTGTTCCCGTTTTCATTTGAACTCCAGAGTGTTTGGGGAACATCACCTATTTTCCCTTTGAGCTTCCCTTTTGTAAAATAATATTTCTATTTAAGGAACATTCATTCATTCATGCAACACACATTGTTAGAGCCTCTGTGTCTGTAGTGTGTGTGCATGTGTGTGTGTGTGTGTGTGTGTGTGTGTGTGTGTGTGTGTGAATACATGTGCAAGGACAGGCAGGAGAGCTGAGTAGTTAAACCTGAGCTTCTAGTCAGGACACATGGGGACAGACTGCATAGGGCATTAGCACTGCATCATAACTCACAGGGAAGTTTTGTTTAATTTTTCTTCATTTTTGTTCTATTTTGAGTTACATTATTATTGACTAGAGGCTCAGTGCATGAATTCATGCACCAGTGGGGTCCCTTGGCCTGGCCTGCAGGATCAGGTTGAAACTGGCTGACATCCCCCGAGGGTTCCTGGATTGCAAGAGGGTGCAGGCCAGGCTGAGGGACCCCACTGGTGCATGATCAGTGCTGGGGAGGGATGTGGAAGGTTGGCCAGCTGGGGAGGGACTGCAGGAGGGCTCCAGGACATGTTCAGCCCATCTCGCTCAGTCCCAATTGGCCGGACCCCAGCAGCAAGCTAACCTACCGGTCAGAGTGTCTGCCCCCTGGTGGTCAGTGCACATCATAGTGAAGCAGTTGGGCAGCTTTAGCATATCATTAGCATATTACGCTATGATTGGTTGAACCAACAACCGAACTCTTAGCATATTAGGCTTTTATTATATAGGATACCTTTCTTTAGCTTTTTATGTCATAAGAAAAAAAATAATCACTGCTTTTGGATTTTTGAAAAAGATTTTGTAAAGGTTGCAGAAGAGTCTGTCTTGATTTTGTTTCCTTAATGGGGATTGTTTCTGTAGATTGTGCTGGATGAAAAAGTCAAAGTTGATGTTTATCTCGGCTCCAAGTTCTCTCCTTGGTGATACTTGTTTCTGTTTTTACCTGCAGGGGCCAATGTGAATGCAGCAAAGCTTCACGAGACAGCCCTTCATCATGCAGCCAAGGTGAAGAACGTGGACCTCATTGAGATGCTGATTGAATTTGGAGGCAACATCTATGCACGGGACAACCGGGGAAAGAAGCCCTCCGACTACACGTGGAGTAGCAGTGCCCCTGCCAAGTGCTTTGAGCACTATGAAAGTGAGGCCAGGCTCTCCTTGTTGTTTGAATGATGCAATGTACAGTGAATGAATAGCACATGACACTTATGCACGAAGCTCTGCTCTGACAATATATTAGGTCATTTATGAGTAAATAATTAATCTCAGACTAAGTCCATATGAGGCTGAGAATATAGATCCAACCCTCACTGTTCAGGAAACAATCTTGCTAAGGACAAGATATCTTCTTTGTAAATCAATTTTTTAATGAGTTTACATAGAATTAGAGTCATAAGAGGCTTCAAACACCTATCAGTTGAAAAAAAATGATTTATTCAAATTTTTGCCAGCCCTTCCTAATTCAAATCCATTATGAACTTAGAGCAGCCGTGGGCAAACTATGGCCCGCGGGCTGGATCCGGCCCATTTGAAATGAATAAAACTAAAAAAAAAAAAGACCGTACCCTTTTATGGAATGATGTTTACTTTGAGTTTATATTAGTTCACACAAACACTCCATCCATGCTTTTGTTCCAGCCCTCCGGCCCAGTTTAAGAACCCATTGTGGCCCTCGAGTCAAAAAGTTTGCCCACCCCTGACTTAGAGGCACATTCCATCCCTGTCTGTCAGCTAACCATTTCCTGGAAGATAATGTTTCTTTTACAAATAATTTGGGGGACAAAGTAACACAGGAAAATGAATTTCATCAGTAATATTTTTTTTCCCTTTCAAAGACTATTATATTTTAAAATTTTTCATAAATTGAGAAAACTCTCTTTGGTTAATTTATATTTTTGTCAAACACAGATCATTCTAAAAGGCAGGTCCTCAAGGCCAGGCTCTGTTTTGCAAATGTCCCTGTGATTCATCTGCCAGGGACCTCCAGGTATCTTCCATTGTTGGCCCTAGCTTGCTCCCACTGTGAGCCCCAGCTCCAGGCTTGTCTGTGGTCCTGAGGTCCTGACCCTCTGCACTAGGATATGCATTGTGTACTCTGCTGGAGCTGGGATGTGCATCAGTTCTCCTGAGATCTGTTTGTGCCCTATAGCCCTCAGTGGCCTGGAGCAGCAGGAGCTGGCAGCCTAGACCAGTGGTTCTCAACCTTCTGACCCTTTAAATACATTTCCTCATGTTGTGATCCCAACCATAATTTTGCTACTCTTATGAATTGTAATGTAAATATCTGATATGCAGGATGGTCTTAGGCTACCCCTGTGAAAGGGTCATTCGACTGCCAAAGGGCTCGCGACCCACAGGCTGAGAACCAATGGCCTAGACTCTCTCATTTGTCTGGAAGTTTGACAAACAAGCCTACTAGCTGTAGATTGGTGCATTGCTGACAAATCCCTGTGCTAGGGTTATAACATTATGGGGCAAAAGTCACATACACACACATGCACACAAAGCAAAAACCTACATCCCCCGCCCCCCTTCAAATGAAATCCCTCTGGACAGCACTGGAATTCCATTTCCTGCTCTTGTGTCCTTGGGCCCTGGCTGTCCTTCCTGGTAGCTTTCAAGAGAATGCTTGTAAGGCATGTCCTATTTTTAGGGAAGGGAGGTGTTTCCAGTTCTTGATATTTTTAAAAAATATATTTCTATTGATTTCAGAGAGGAAGGGAGAGGGAGAGAGAGATAGAAACATCAATGATGAGAGAGAATCATTGATCGGCCTCTTGCACACTTCCTACTGGGTATGTACCCTGACCAGGAATCGAACCATGACCTGGCTCATGGGTTGACGTTCAACCACTGAGTCACACTGGCTAGGCCAGTTCTTGATATTTTTTAGGTTGAAGGATGTTAATCTATGTTCAACTATGTTAAGCTAACCTCACGTGCTTCATGTTCCCTTTTTACAGAGACACCGCTAACCCTGTCACAGCTCTGCAGGGTGAGCCTGAGGAAGGCCACCGGTGTCCGAGGGCTGGAGAAAATCGCCAAGCTCAACATCCCTCCCCGGCTCATCAATTACCTTTCCTACAACTGAGCTGCAGGCACGGGAGGCAGGAGCAGGCTGGTGGCACCCTGGCTGCTGGCCTTGCCCAGCCCAGTGTTGTTTGTCTGAAGCCCTCAGTTCCTATAGATAGAACAACGTTCCCCGAATCCCCATTGACTGTTGTGTTTCATCTTCTCCGTGGACTCCTGGAGAATATTTCCAAGGCATTGGGAAGGACCTGCCTTAGCTTCTGCTGGGGCCGTGGCCCTGTGCTGGCTCTTCTGGAACTTGGCTCTAACTCTGGCGTTCCCAGCGTCCAGCTGTCCTCTTTTCACTGACCTTCCTCAGAAGGACACTCAGGAAAGACTGTTCTGGGAGCACAGGGGAAGGCCAAGCAGGGCTGGGGCCCAGGCTACTGCTGTTGATTTCCACATGTCTGGGAGGTCCAGGGGTGCGGTGCCATCTCTAATTCATTCAGCGCTACGCAGCCCTGGGGGGCTCAAAGGGACAGCCTGAGCCACAGGGGGTGGACCTGTGAGAGGTGAGGTCCTGACCACGTGGCCTGGGATGGATGCATTAGTGACATCATGCCACTTGAACGCTTTTTTTCTGGAGCCAAGGGTGGGCACTTTCCAAGGCCCACCTCCACCCAGGTGTACCCATTACTCAGGGACTTTGTACGGGTTTTATGGGGGAAGCTCAGGGTCTTCATTCCCCACAACCAGCACAGTGTTTCACAGGAAATTTTTCTTCAGTTTTAGGTCTCAACTTAAAACGTTTATGTGAGGGATAAATAAACTTTCAGAAGATATGTAGGTATGTACATAGGTAATGTGAAGGGGTGTTAGCACATTACCATGAGCAGTCATTTCCAATGTGAAAGATTGTTAGGAAATGCTTTGGAGATTATTTTTAATCATTTTATGGTTGCCAAATGAATTCTTCCCTAAATTTTGTTAATTCCTTGAAGTTCTGAGATTGGTAGAAGAGGTTGCCAGCACCCAGTGGGTATTATCAACCATTGATTGGTGCATTCTGTAGATATCTGTGGAACATCTATTATGCTACAGCATTTTCTCGGTGCTTTGACCTGGATAGGATTCAGACTCATTATCATAAGCTGGGGAAAATAGAGTTTTGCAATCTGTTCCTATAGTAATAGAAACAAGTGGTTCTAGATTATAAGTCATATGGTGAACTAGTAAGAATATTCAGACTGCAGTTGTCTGTCTAAGATTCTGTATCGTAATAAAAACAAACAGAAAACCAGGGAATGAAACTAGGCAATTTTGCATGATCAAGTTCAGGTATATTTGGTTTCTGGGGAAACAGAGAAGGTGCCACTTGTGAACACCCCAGAAATGTGGACGTTACCACATTCTTCCAGAGAGTGTAGAATAGACTGAGCCTGAACTGTCGTCCAAGGTAATGCCAAGTGTGCTACACAACCAGAAGTGTCTGCACAGGGTTACTTGGGTGGGGCCCCAGATCTGATGGTAAGTTTCATGCTGGTTGTACAGTTATTTTCCATCTCACTGTTCCAGCCATGGTTACATCATTCTATGCTGAGAGCAAGAGCCACTCCGATTTGGTTACAGGCTTAAATACAAGTTGTGGGTAAATCAGTGTTTCTGTATGTACTAATAACAATGGGGAAAAAAAAGCATTGGGTTCTGCCCTTTCATCTTTGTAACAGAAACTTGCTTCTAGCAATAAGCTGGTAACATTTCCATAAGGGGGTGCACGGAGTACAGAATCGCAGCCCCACGCTCGCTGCTCAATAAAAGGTGTTGAATAGAGTCCATCCTTGTGGTCATACGCTCGTTTCTTGTTGGGAGCAGAAACACTGGATGAGCAAATAGGTCCCCACCTCTCAAGAATATTGCATCTGAACAGGCTGAGCCAGAGCCAGTGTGTACACAGGCCCTAAACCAGGGCTTTTGGAATAACAAGAACAGCACAACCAGCTTTTTCTTCTGTTAGAAAGGGACTGTGAGTTGGAAGTTCCAAAGTTCTACTTTCTAAAAAGAAAACCTGGAGCTCAATATAAAAATGGAAACCAAAATCGATCAGAAATGAAGCATAGTACCTCATGTACTCAAGGTTCAGATGGTTTTTGAGAAATAAGTATCTGATTATCTGGCCTCTTCTATTAGGAATGGCCCCATTCCAGCATTTTTAAAGGAAGATGTTTTTGTTTCTATTTCATTTTCCAAACAGGTATAAAATCTACTAAAAGGGAGATAATCAATCAGAATAAATCAGCTTACTCATGAGAGACACTCCTAGATAATGATTTTTGGTTGCTGAGAGTATTCAACACATTATTTCAGAGTGGCAAATTTAGAAATAATCTGAAAAGAGAATTTGAAAGTGGCAGCCACAGTCACTGATAGAGTTATGTGAGACACACAGACATATAACTCCTCTTTTCTTTTTAATCAGTGTATATGGCAAGGAGCCTAAACCCCTGATCATCAAAATAAGTTATTTTGTACATTACAGTGCACAGAACAATAGAGAGAAAGACTTTCTTATAGAGTGACCGAAAGACATTTGCAAAAGGTTCATATCACTATGAGGTGGAAGGCCTGGAGCCAGTGCTGCAGCATGGCCCTCATTAGCTTGACCCCTCTTGTTCTTTGGTTGCGGTGGCCTTAGCTAGAGCTGCCTTTTCTAAACGTTCTGCTGGCTTCTCCTCCTCCTCCTCCTCCTCCTCCTCCTCCTTGTCTTGGGGATAGAGGTCCAGGTACTTCTGCATGCATTCCTGCATGGGCCAGAACTGGTCTACACAGCCTGATCCTTTGAGATCCTCCGTGCTATAGTGGAAGCAGGAACAGGCTGACTTGAACTGTTCCCCACAGGGGCCACTAGCCATTCCCCCAGGGCATGGGCAGTACCAGTTAATGTCTCCATTTGGCAGGATCAACCCGTGCTCCTCGTATGGATCATTGGGATTGTCAGCCACCAGCTCTGCATTGCTTGGAGTTTCATGGTCTTCTTTGGTCACAAATATGATTTGATCTTTTCCTTCCTGCCAGCAGTAGGCCATGGCTGCAGTCCAGCACTCCTGTTTTGGTATTCTTTTTACAACAAAAATTTAACGTATGGAGAAACAAAGATGGCGGCATAGGTAAAAACCGGAAATTGCTGTCTCCCACAACAACTTCAAAAATACAACGAAAAGACAAAACGGACATCATCCAGAACTACAGGAAGGCTGGCTGAGTGGAAATTCTACAACTAGAAGGAAAAAGAAAAGCACATGTAGACTCAGAGGAGGTGCGGAAGTAAAGTGCAGAGGTACGGCGGCTCGAGCGCGCGCGGAAAGGGGCGGGCACCTGAGGACGCGGCTGTCTTTTTGAATCTGGAGGGAGTCACAAGCTCCCAACAGCTCTGAACTCTGGTTCCAGGAAGTCTCTGGGGACCCAGGACTCATACGGGGAGAAACTGGACTGTCTGGCAGCGGGCAGAACTCGGAACCTGAGGGCGGCTTTCCCTCAGAGGTGCTTGCAGCAATTACCGGGACACTGAGATGCTCGGCCCCTTAGGGCAGGGCTGAGGATCCGCCATAGCTGCTGGCTCCGCCCTTTGATTCCCTTAGACCCCGCCCCACCCAGGCTGTGGCAGAGGCTTTTGCATATGAATGCCCTGGCCCTTTGCAACCTGAAAATTACCTAACAAATTGCAGCTGCACCAGAGAGACCCAGAACTTCCAAGAGAAGGCCGAAGGCCCCACATCAGCTTGCATTGCTTCACAGCTGGGCCTCATCTGGGCACCTCCAAACTCCAAAAAAGGAAGGGGAATCTGCAGTTCTCTTCTTAGCTCCTGCTGGGTAACCTAAGACAGAGGCTAAATTAGCACCTCCTTAGATCCAAGAGCCAGTGTACCCAGTGGTCAGAGTGGGACCATCCACATTACAACTCCTCAGATCCATAAGGGACACACTCAGGGGGCAGACTCAGTGAGCACCAAAGCCCCACTGAAGCAAGTCTTGCCCCAGAAGGATGTCTTCAGCACAGAAGTTCTCCCACTGCAGACACAGCTTCTCACTGCCAATTGCCTGGAGGTCAATTCCTCCCAGTGATACCTACAACAATCAAGGCATAACTATAACAAGACTGTGCACAAAGCCCACAAGGGGGTGCACCAAGAGTGTCCACCTCAGGTAACTGGGGAGGCTGAGCCACTGGGCCCTACAGGACACCTAGCACACAAAGCCACTCTACCAACACAGGGAAGCATAAAAACTGCGGAGACAAAGAAACAGGACACAAATGACAGAAATGGAGGAAAGCAAACGACTGGATATAGAGTTCAAGGCCACGTTTATAAGGTTTTTCAAGAATTTTCTGGAAACCGCCGATAAATTTAGTGAGACCCTGGAGGATATGAAAAAAGACCAACTAGAAATTAAGCATACACTGACTGAAATAAAGAATAATATACAGAGATCCAACAGCAGACAAGAGGATCCCAAGAATCAAGCCAAAGATTTGAAATATGAAGAAACAAAAAAATACCCAACCGAAGAAGCAAAAAGAAAAAAGAATCCAAAAATATGAAGATAGTGTAAGGAGCCTCTGGGACAACTTCAAGCATACCAACATCAGAATTATAGGGGTACCAGAAGAAGAGAGAGGGCAAGATATTGAAAACCTATTTGAAGAAATAATGACAGAAAACTTCCCCTACCTGGTGAAAGAAATAGACTTACAAGTCCAGGAAACACAGAGAACCCCAAACAAAAGGAATCCAAAGAGGACCACACCAAGACACATCATAATTAAAATGCCAAGAGCAAAAGACAAAGAGAGAATCTTAAAAGCAGCAAGAGAAAGACAGTCAGTTACCTACAAGGGAGTACCCATACAACTGTCAGCTGATTTCTCAACAAAAACCATGCAGGCCAGAAGAGAGTGGCAAGAAATATTCAAAGTGATGAACAGCAAGAACCTACAACCAAGATTACTTTATCCAGCAAAGCTATCATTCAGAATTGAAGGTCAGATAAAGAGCTTCACAGATAAGAAAAAGCTAAAGGAGTTCATCACCACCAAACCAGCATTATATGAAATGCTGAAAGGTATTCTTTAAGAAGAGGAAGAAGAAAAAGGAACTCTTACCATTTACCACAGCATGGATGGAACTGGAGAGCATTATGCTAAGTGAAATAAGCCAGTCAGAGAAGGATAAACACCACATGATCTCACTCATTTGTGGAATATAATGAACAACATAAACTGATGAACAAGGACTGATCCAGAGACAGAGAGGCATTGATTGGACTGTCAGGCCTGGGAGGGAAGGTAGGGGAGGGTGGGGGTAAGGGGGAAAGATCAACCAAAGGACTTATAAGCAAGCATATAGGCCTAACCAATGGACACGGACAACAGGGGGGTGAGGGCATGAGCGGGGGGGTGGGGAGGGTAGGGGGTAACGTGGGGATAAGGACACATATGTAATATCTTAATCAATAAAAAATATTAAAAAAATTTAACATACAGAGGAGGGGATAAAGGGGAGAAATGTTGTAAAAAAGAAAGATACCTGTGTGACAGTTGTAAACTGGATTCTGTTTAAGAATATCTTTCAGCTTTCTATTGGCTACAAAGTCTTATTTTGGGTTAAAAGGTTTTGTATTCCATAATAGGTGCTGATGCTTTTTTTTTTTTTTTTTTTTAACCAACCTCATTTTTAAAATGAGGAAACAGGTTGTAGCTACTTTCTTAGATATGCTAGACTTTAAAAGCCCTGAATGTTCTCTGTGGCACACAGAGAGCCTGTCTGCATCTCAGGGAAAGGAAGTGTCAGGTAAAGTCCCTTTTCCCTCTCTCTCATTAGTCTGTCCTGCTTGGCATGACTCACTCCCTAGACGTTGTGAACCTTCTAAATATGGCTTTGGGCCAAATCCTATCCCTTGGAGCAAGCATGTCAAACTCAAAGGCTAACATGGGCCAAATAAAGAAGGTTTAAGTGTATGTGGGCCACAAAAAAACAAAAGCTTCAAGTTTCATAGAGACATAGGTTTATTTCGATAGAGACATGCTGAATACAAAGGGCTGAAATAAACGAGTCAACGTTAACATAAAATAATAGAACATTTTAATAAAAATTAATATTTTTTTCTTGAACATTAACTTACCAGACACTGAATAACTGCAGAAGTTAATAAGCGTTACACAAATAAACCTGTTTTTCTTGTTCTCCAAAAGTGAAATATTTCCTGTTGCGCACACCAAACAAGTCAGCCTAAGACTAAAGACGTGGCAATCGGCTGCTAACATATTTGCTGCTGGTATTAGTGAGAGAAATGGTGCGCCTGTGCGTAAGGGAAATGAATGCAACATGATTATAGTGATCAGTCATTAGTGAACGTTGTAGTTTGTTATTAATAACTAGTGGCCCAGTGCATGAAATTCATGCACATTAAAAGGGAATTAATTAGAGGAAATATTTTAACATTGCCATTTGCCTTTCCTCTATAATAGAAGTGTCAGAGATGAAAGAAAATTAGTAAAATGTATATGACAAAAATATACAAATTTATTAATAAATACATAATAACAGCATCATATCCCCTGGCTAGCGCTGGGCGGGGGATGCAGCCTCACATCCCCTGGCCTCACTGTGCATGCAGCCCCTCCCACCCATGCCTGCCATGCATGCAGCACGGCCTGAAGGTGTCACGATCATTTGCATATTAGCTCTATTATATAGGATCATATATAACAGGATATTGTAAAAATTAAGTCATGAAATTTTATTAAAACATTTCTTACATACTGTTATATAGGCTGGGCCACAAATATTGGTTGTGGGCCGCATGCAGCCCACAGGCTGTGAGTTTGACATGCTTGCCTTGGAGAGATGGAAACCAGTTCCTCTAAACTGAGGAACCATTTCACAGCAGGCAGATGCAGCCTGCTCTGGGCGCTGCCTGCCCTCTGCAGGTGGGGTGAGAGAGGTGTAGGGAGGAAGTGGATCACCTAGCAGCACCTTCTCTCCTGTCATCCCTAAGTCCCCTCTGGTCCCCAGGGAGGACACTGCCCTTTCCCTCGCTGACATTTTCACAGAAATGCCACGTGCCATAACCCATCCATACTTCCAGATGAGTCTGCACAAAACTTTGAAGTTGTTTGGGACAGAAAGAATGCTTTGCATGTCCATTTCCTCCCCTGCTTTGTTAGAACTACTGTACATGCTTTCTTTCCAGGGGGCAGTATTCATTACTTCTGAGCAGTTGAGTTTATTTACAAAAATGACCCCAAAACTGGCTCTAAACACAAAGCCCACCAGCTCACTCATGTTATGGGTAGCTGTGCTGTCTTACAGATATAAGTTGGGATGGGATCTCAAGGGTATAGCAGGTTGGGAGGGCTTTCCCACCCTCTGGGCAGCACTGTAGCATTTACTGTTCTCCTATAATGGTCTGGAAAGTACTTCCAGACCCTGGAGTCTGCTTTTTCTCTTTTCTTAGTATTGGTACCACATGGCATTGACAGCTAGGCCTCAGTTATGTTGTCATGAAAATCTTGTGATCTTTGGCAATTTGAATGAAAATATGTCTTAAGTTGGTCCAATCTAAATAGGGTGCCTCCTAAAAGCCGAATGTCTTAAAACCATAAAGATTCATGACAGCTCTCTCTCTCTCTTACACACACACACACACACACACACACGTTTATTTATATAAAAGTTTACTTTCTAGCATCTGGTCTCCAGGTGTGCAGTTCTTGTCAACCACAGACATCAGAGCTGAAAGAGAATTTGCAACTGAATTCTGAGCCAGAATGTACAATTTGTTCAGCTTTCTGTTTTTGGTGTGATCAACAGGGAAACTCCCATTGCTTCTTGCTGTTAATTTGAATCTTGAGGCTCATTCTGCTGTTAGAGACAGAGGTTTAGAAGAGACAAGAAGTAAGAACATTCACTCATGCCGAAACCGGTTTGGCTCAGTGGATAGAGCGTCGGCCTGCAGACTGAAAGGTCCCAGGTTTGATTCCGGTCAAGGGCATGTACCTGGGTTGCGGGTACATCCCCAGTAGGAGATGTGCAGGAGGCAGCTGATCAATGTTTCTCTCTCATCGATGTTTCTAACTCTCTATCTCTCTCCCTTTCTCTCTGTAAAAAATCAATAAAATATATTAAAAAAAAAAAGAACATTCACTCATTCCTTGGGCCCCTTTCTCCACCCA